CGCGTATAATATGAAGAATTAGATTGATTCTCTATAGTCATGGCTTCTTACCAAGATCCTTACACGATCTGAATATACCTTTGTAAATATTATTGAATAAAAATGAATTTTTTAAGAAAATGAGTTCACGATACGTGAAGAGAACCTAGAATTGGCAAAAATGATGTAATAAATGGAAAAATAGTTTCATTATTAGCAAAAAGCCATTATGCGATAGCTTTGCAAATAAAAAGCTGACTAGGCCAGTCTATAACAATAGGAATCATGTAATTAGAGAGATACACTTGCATCAGTTTTTGATTATGCACAATCTGAAGAGCTTTTGTATAATCTTTCACATTTTTCAGATTGTTTTCAATAAAGTCGATGAGGATAGCATTCTGCATATGTCTCTCATCCTTTTTTTCTGCTAATCTGTCATTGTAACTATGCAATGTTAACCTATCTAAGAGCTCATTATCAGAATAATTTTTACCTGCATAATCTGGCATATGATTATAATTATGATAAGAAATCCCAAGGTTTACAATAAATCGCATATCGAGATGCCTTTCAATCATTTCATTATCGAAGACTTTTGGATTGATTACTTCGTTATATGATATTGTTGGTGTAAGATATAGATTTGCTATAATTATTGCCATGTGCACTGCCCAAGATGTACTCGTAATATTAGGTCGCCTTTGAATATGAATATTGTGATAATCATTAACATTCAATACAAAGGCATTTTCTAAATATTTTATGAAAGCATTATCTACATATTTTCTGTGTGCATCTGATATTCTTTTCTTTTTACAATCTACTGCTTTCACTGTTGTAGTCACACTAAGGTTTGCTATCATATTTAAGCCTTCATTGCTCATACTTACTGAATCTAAATAGTACATAAAATCGAACTTAAAAGAATTAATTTTTGTATTGTTTAATGAAGCAAGAAGATAGCATATGAACACTATCAATTTTTTCATACAATCCATTGTTTGATCATTGCATTCGCATAGCTAAGATACTGAAATAAGTTGATCAAAAAAGTTCTTTAGACTCAGTTCGATTCCTTCAAATAATCCTCGCAATTCATCAAATGTATATATGGGACCTTCTTTCTTCAAATATTCTCTATTATATAGGATTTTTGCTATTTTTTTGATGGCTTTGGTAAGATCAACTTTCATACTTACCTCCTTCTTACTTATAGCTTCTGTTTCCTCTTCAGTTGAGACTTTTACTTATTTAGAACCTCTTTTTAATAGATTTTCTACACATCGCATATAACATATGTTGCATAAAACAACGCCTTCTGTCTATGTTATCTTTACTAAATTGTTACTTTCGACTTCTTTCCATTTTTTTCTGTTAAACGAACGGAATTTAGTCAACTCAGAAGTCTGGCACTCTATGTAACATTTTCTCATTTCAGACATATTTCATTAGGTAAATAGTAATATAAAAGTTGTGGAATTCAAGAGGATTCAACAGATATTATTACACTTTACTGTGAGAGCTTCAAATTTACTAAATATACTTAATCACATTTTATTACAAGAAATGCAATGTGTAAATCCCTCGAAAAAGTATTATAAAATGTATGAAAAAAAAATTTATTAAATTATATAACAATTTCCTTATATGGGACAGTTGTACCTGAGTAGTTTTCTATAATAGGTATTGTAAATAGTTACATATTCTCTTTTACGTATATCATCTAATCTAATTTCTATATTATTATTTTTAGCTACATAACTATTATTAGTGGAATCTAATCTAAAAGAAGATTTTACTTTTTTGTTATATAAATTATCTAAGACTATTTTAGCTAAATAAGAATAAAGTTTAAGTATATTGTACCCTTTATTAGGAATATTATCGTAATAGTATCTACTAGTGATTTTATTCAAATTAAGCAAAAATTTTCTATCTTTATCTAAAAATTAATCTAAGTAAATAAAATTATATTTACTCAAATTATGATAATACTTTTTGAGAATATCAAAAAAAATAAAGGAATCTAAGGAAGTTACCCTTGATTGTATTTTTTAATTTCTGATGTGTATTAAAAGAAATTTAAGTATTTTCATGTTTAAGTAGACTAAGAGTAGATCCAATAGAACTTTTATAAGATTTGCTATTGAAAGATTTATTCCAGTATACTAGAGAGGATGTATGTAGTGAATAATATGACTGTAGTTAAAAAAGTCTAATTTTTGATATTGTATTATATAAGAAGGTAAAATTGAATTGGTATAATAGAGCTGTAGATAAAGATTTTAATTATTGAATCTAGAGATTATAAAGGTAGTAGAAAGTACTATCTTTGACCAAACAGTCAGAAAGAGTTATAGCAAAGGAAACTTTTTATTTAAAAAATCTTCTAATAAGTACTGAGATTGAATGACAATCTTTGAAGAGAGAGGTGTAGTCTTAAGATAGTAGTCTAAAAGAGAAAATAGTACTATATTAAAAAATATAAATTAGCTGTTTATTAGTAAGTAATTTCATTTTGAGAATAGTTATATACGTTGAGATTATTTCCTTTGTTTATACCTTAACAAAGAATGTAAAATTGAATATATTGATCTATACTTCAAGAAACCTAATAGAACCAAATTCAAGCTTCAGATTTATTATATTTAAACTAAATATAACACAGATTTATATATAAATTTTGATAAAAATTATGCATTATATTAGTATTTCAAAATTTATTATTCTATATATACTGGTTTTTAAGCTAATAAATAATTAAATTTAGATAATCTTAATATCATTAGTTAGAATCATCTTAATAAAAAAAATCTAATAGTAGTAAAATCGTATTTTTAACATTAAAATTAATTAAATTATTATAAAAACGTATTTTACTATATGTCACTTATAAGTTAAATAAGAGATGTTCAGATTTTTGATTTAAGAATGACAAATTTTTTTTATTTTCAGATATTGATAGAGATATTAGAATTTATTAGCTCAATCTTTTAAAGATAAATAAATAAATAGGAGTAGATATAGAAATATCTAGTTTAACTTTTTTTAAATATAACCTGGGTTTTTTACTTAAAAAATTTATCAAAATGCTCTGTATATTTATTTTAATATGCAAAGTATATATCTAATACATCTTGAAGAATTTTTTAAATAAACTATTTATTTTTAATTTTGATTATTTAGGTTGATAATATATTTTATATTAATAAACTTTTTAAAAGTAGATATATAAGATTCTTCAAAAACATGATGATATATATATATACTTCAATATATATCTTATCAATCTAAATAAGTTTTTAGTTAGATCTACTTTTTAACATATTCTCAATTTCTTATTTATTTTTTAATTAGAGTATGTTATATGTTTATCTATATCATTTTCTAAAAAAATAATCCTTATTTCTTTTTGTGATAAATTATCTCTTATAACCTTTTTGTATTTTAATATACTTGCATAATATTATTAATATTGATTTTATTTATTCTTTTTAATATAACTTTAGTTATATTTTTTTTTGAGTAGATACTATAAGCTGAAATATACATTATCTTAAAAAAAGTATCTAAATACTAAAAATTTATTATTTATTTTAAATTTAATAATTTTATACTAATAATATTATTAATAATTTTTTATATTTTAACTAGAACATTATTCTTTAAATTTTTTATAAATGTATTAAAAAATTTTTTTTATAAAAAATAAAATATAATCTTTGACTTTGATTAATATTAGAATATTTAAATACGAATATACTGATTATGAAGATATAAAATTAAACTATCATACTCTCCTTATTGAAAACTTTTTATATTTGATTAAAATTGAATCATTACATGTTAAAATAATTTAGAAAATAAATGCATGATATGTAAAATAGTTTTAAATGAAAATAAAATAAATTCAATTAATGCATTAAAATATGTACTATATAATTATATAAATAATAATTTTATATCATATAAACTTAAGTTACAATTTACAAAAAACTGTGTTTGAATATTTTCTTCAAGGTAGTATATATAATGCAACTTTGTATTTTTTTTTTTGTTTTGACCTTTATTAAATGCATATATCAGGTTTTTTTAGAAGGAATTGTTGCTTTCTATTTGCTTAATAAGAAAAGATTTCTATATGAGCCTATTGGATCACTAACACATTTTTCTCAAATTGAATTTCACATTTTCATCTGCTTTAAGATATTTTTCTTTTACTTTTAGTTAAAAATCAAATTCTTTCATTCCTATCAATAGATTATTTTATTGATAAATCTGATAATTTTATAATTAAAATAATATTATTAATAAAATATAAATAAATAACACCTTTTTTTATATTTGCAAAGTATTTTTAATTACTTTTAAACTTATGTGATAGATAAAATAACTGTTTTAATTATATATCTTCAAAAATTTATAGATTAGATATATTTAATATAATAAAATTATTATTATTAGAATTTTTAAATATAAAGATATAATTAATGCTACTAATACTACATTACTATTTGTAATAACTTATTTTTTTCAAAACTTATTTTTGAATTTTATATAAAGATATATATATTTTTTTTATAATATTATATAATAAAAACAATTTAAATAATTTAATAGAAGTCAGCCCATTCTTAACATTCTAATTATGTTTTACACCTATCATTGATTTTGTCACCTTTTCAAATACAACTTTGTAAAGCTTTACATTTGAAATCGATGCCTTTAAAAGAAAATAGGAGCAATAAATAATTCTGTGCTCTTGTAGAATATCACAACATTCTGCACATCAAAACAATAAATAATGCAAAATCTAAATAAGTTTATTCAATAACATTCATGTCCAAAAAAGTATAAATTATTTTTATTTTTATTTTTTTTTTTGAATCTAAACAATACAAAACGCAACGCATTCATTCAGTTATTTTTATCTTTAACAATTTTTTTACGATTTTTTTTTTTTTTTATCTAAACATTTAAATTTTATATCGTGAAACGACTTGAATTAAATGCCAAGTATGAACGAAAAACAGAGGTCTCCACAAATCAATCCGCTACTTCTACGCATTAGAACTTCGATAGCATCATTACGTTCAACCTCTTACGCAACAAATTACAATTTATTACCACTTTCCACCCTTTCTCCTAGTAGTATATCACCATTGCCACCGACAACCTTTCGTCATGGAAGAGGTTCAAGAACAATATTATTCCTTCCTAACTTTGTGAGAAGGAAATGGGGATATATCAGTTTTATCTTGTTAGTTTTGTTCATAGTGATAATTCGATTACAATTTGTAAAGCGTCATATTCCATTTGAAGAAACGCCAGCTGTTACCGGGTAAATAAATAAAGATATATTATTTTATTTAATGATTATGATCGAATCTGAATTCCCAATCAACTGATATATTATATATATATATGTATATATTACTAGACATTCACAGCGACAACAAGCAAGGCCACCACCAACGACATCTTCCACATTCACAGATAATTATCCAAAACAATTAGCAATTTTAATCATACCTTCATCAACCACCTCAATAGATACATTTAGTAAAAGTATCATAGATACATGGGGTAAAATAGCCAAACAAAATAAATCATTAAGTGTAGATTTATGGTTCGTTACTTCAGAAGACACGTTAAGGAAATTTGGTTGGCCAAATATACCATACGATGATGGGAAGACTAGTAGAGGAGTTGAAGACGATGATGTAATAGAGGGGGTCAGGATGAGCGGTAATGAAAAGGAAACGGAAATCGAATTAAAAAACTTGTTGAGAGAAATGGTGCAAGAAAACATGCAGTTTGAAGAACCAACCGAATTAAACGATGAACAAGAGGAATTTCAAAAATTAACAAAGGTAAAAAATCATGAAAAAGAAAAAAAATTTTTTTTGATCATTCTTGACGTAATTAATTAACTTTCGTATATTTGATAGGCACTTCATTATTTATACGAAAATCATTTAGATCATTATAATTATGTGTTAAAAATTACGGACAAGTCATTCGTTAGATTACCAAAATTACTTGAATCTTTATCAACATTAAATCATACTGAGAACATTTTTTCAACCATGAAACAACCTAAATTAATAGGAAGACCAATTTTAAATCATGAGAATACAAAAACTTTTTGTTCGAAAGGATCAGGGTACATAATAAACAAACATTTATTAACGATTGTAGGTCCACATTTACCTTTTTGTTTGTCAACTGTAAATAAAAATAGACTCGAAGAGAATCATGATTTACGAGAGGATTTAGCTATAGAACGATGTTTTATGCGATACGTTCCCATGTTTAACGGGTGTGAAACATTTTTTGATAATGATTTGGGTCAGTTGCCCGGACATGAATTCTTATATTTAAATCCTGATGATGTAATTAATTGGGAAAAGTATAAAGAACCTTTAGAGGTGTTTAATGACGAATATATGAATCGGTGGAGATTTGCTGATGCTATCGTTATTGGTGAAGTTAAAGATCCTTCAAATATGATAGCATTAGAAGAATGGTATGGTAAAGGTGGTAAATTTGATGAGATGGTTGAGGAAATGGGTGGTGTGATACCGGACCCGGAACCTATACTTACACAAGAGGTGGATCGTGTCGGGGATAATCATAAGAGTAATGACGTGAATAAAGAGGGTGTGCAGAATCAGGGACCTGAAGAACAAGTTGAAAAGGTGGATGATGTAGAAGAAATTATGACAATAATGACCGCAGCGCCAACGGAGACATTATCAAATGAAAATGTTACTTATGAAACAACATCTGAGCAATCCTCGACCACCATTAGTTAATACCACCAGAAGTATGAAAGATAAAGAACAATTTAACGATTCAAAAAAATAAAATAGATACAACAAATTCAATATTTGCATCAACATTAGAAGAATAGAAATCAACAGCATCCACTATGATGATGTAAATGAATTAAATGAGATTAATCATAGTGATGATGGTCCTGATGGTTAAGCATTCATACCTTTAAAGCGGTGAAGGATTTAGCAGAACCATAACAATTTACAAAAAGATTTATATATATATATATATATTTATAATTTTTTTTTTTTAAAAAAAAAAACTTTGTTTATGCTAGTCTTAATCACGCGATATTTACAATAATAAATAAATAACTAAATAAGAAAAACTTTATGATCTTTATAAAAAAAATTATTTTTTCTATATTTAACAATCAAACAATTTATTATTATTTTTTTTTTTTTTGCCATTTAATAAGAGATTAAATTCAACTTAAAATTGAAAATACTGAATAAAAAACACAATTACAAAATTATTTTTAATAAATTCAAAGTATATTATAAAGAAAAGTAAGAAAAAAAGAATAGTTCGTTTGTACAAAAGAGGTAAGTTAAAAAAGAAAGGCAAAATCTGCCATGAAATGAAAAATTATCAACCAAATTTTGCTTGAATCACCAAAATTTCGAAATTTAGAAAGGAAAAAAAAATCATCTACATGTAAAAAAGGAAGATTTTGCCTGCTTTCATATATATATACTTTGAAAGATAAAATCAACGAAGATGAGAAAATGACAAAATAAAAAATCTCAAGGCAAGTAATAGTAGTATTAATTAAACAGCATAGCTTATGCTGTTTACACCACTATCAACATCGCTACATAATTACAACTTTACATCTAATAAGAAAAAAAAGTTTCCTAATGTATAAACCCGACTAAATCAAAAAATTATGCAAAAAAAAGCAAATATTTGACAAAAAGAAAGAAAAAAATAAAATAAATGAAAGAAATTATTTGAGTATTTACTATTTATAAAATTATTAAAACCTATGTTTTAAAAATTTTTTGATCATAGTCCTGCTAGGTATATACCTATTAAACATCATCATGATACCGCCACACTCTTGCTCGACAATCGCCAGAGCCAGTGGCAAAAAGTTTACCAGTTTGACTTAGAGCCACCGAAATTACTTTTTAAAATAAGAAAGTGTATTAGTAAGTGAAAAAAAACTTTTTCCCGGGTTTAACACATTATTCGTTAACCAACCTGAGTTTTTGTGTCCTTGTAACATGAATTGTGTTTGTGCCGTTTGAGGATCCCAGAACTGTACTCCTCGATCTTTTGATCCAGATACTACCCAACGACCATCGGGTGAAACCGCTACCGACAGCACGAAATCCTATTTTACATAATGATGATCAATTAACTCCTTCCAAGGAAATTATAAACAAATGAGATAGATACCTTGTGTCCAGTAAACGTTGTCTTTGATTGATTCTTTTGACCAGATCCGTTATTATTCCTTCCGGGATGACTCATGTCCCATAATTTTAGAGTCTTATCTAAACTACCAGATACCAATGTCTTACCATCAGGAGCAAATGCAACAGAATAAACACTATCCTTATGACCTTCCAATCTTTCAAGAAGAAATCCCGTTCGTGCATCCCACACTCGTACTATCTTATCCAATGAACCTGCGGCAACATAAAGAGCATCGGGGCTTATGGCGACACTGGTAACACCAGCATCCTTTTGACTGGGTTCATCGATTGGAAGTTTGTACAACAATTCTCCGGATACCATGTCCCAGACGCGAGCTGTCTTATCACCTGACCCAGAAACAATGAAACGACCATCGCGTGAAAAGTCAAGTGAATATATGTCTTGTTCGTGACCAGTGAAGAATTTACGGATGGTTTGAGTATGAATGTCCCAGATCTATCAAAAATAAATAAGTAATTATTTGAATTCTTTGATTATATAAATCGATCCAAAACGATACTAACTCTGATTTGTTTATCCTCGGCACCAGTCGCCAAATATTTCCCATCGGGACTAAAGCATACACTGCGGATATATAAGTCGCCGGATTTATCAACATTGGTATCATCCAAAACGCTAAATAGTAATTAAAAAAAAAAAAAAAAAAAAAAAAAAAAAAAAAAGAGAAACCGATTAATTAATTAGTAATCGAAGCATTAAAGGTTTGATTCACGTGATCAAGTGAAGGAGCTGATGACTTAATATATTTGCGTTTGTGGTGACTGCCGTTAAAAGGTCCTAAATGTTAAAATACTTGAACAAGTAAGGGTCATGGTAACTTACCAGATTTTTTGTCCGGAACTAACATCATAAATTTGAGCGATTCTATTGCAGCCAGTAGCAAGGTATTTTCCGTCGGCGCTGAATTTTACACAACATACAACGCTAAAAAATAGACAGAATCGAACTTTGTTAAATACAGAACTTTGTTGGAGGATAATTATTTTTGATGAGATTTACCTAGAATGGTCCAATGTGTGGATTAATTCGACATCGAGAACGCGCGGGACTTTAGGGTTGAAACTAGATAAGTTGATAAAAGCGCAATCATATTTAAAACGACAATTCAGAAAATCACGTGACAAATAGATTTGTTAAAGTACCAAATAAAAAAACATACATGGCAAACCAATCGCCACCCTCCCTCTTCAATTGAGCGGGAACAGTTTCGGGATCCATATCGCCTAATCCAGGTTGAGCGCCACTAAGTGAACCTTGTTTAGTAGGTGGACGATTACCGGGCGGTAATGGGCCCATATTAGGATTATTTTTACGTTTATTAGATTGAGGACCAGAAGGTGGAGCATTACCATTAGGAGGAACTCCGGAACTTTGAGGACCTTCAGGTCCAAGATTCTGGGGCATCTGTATTAACTATATATGTCATAAATTTGCATATAGTAAAAAAATAATAATATATATATATAATTTCATTCGAAATAATAAAAGCTTTGTCTTTTATTATTTACCTTTGGCATTTTATTAACGGGTTTACTGCTTTGACCGACGTTTGTAATGTAACCCCCTTGATTTAATGATTGCTGACTTGTTGGACCGGGTGGAATTCCATTACTACCATACAAACCCGAAGGGGGTTGTTGAGAATTAGGTGGGAGTCCCATAGGTCCCTGAGGGCCACTTGGGGGACCACTCTCTTCCATACGTTGTCGTTTGTTGGCATGTTGCTGTGACAAAGGTGGTGGTGGACCACCACCATTCAAATATGGAGAAGGTGCGGAACTACCACCAGATTGAGAAACGCTTTGTGGAGGGCCACCTGGACCAGGATAAGCACCAGGGTGACCTTGACCGCCTGGCGGAGGTTGCTGAGAAGGATCTATAGACATTTGAGGTGGGGCTACAAGAACTTGTTGACCACCACCACCACCGCTCATGATTGCACCAAATATATTACTTTGTCCTTGACCAATGGTTGGGGGAGGAGGTTGAGGGTGTGATGGTGGTTGGGAATGAGAACTAGATGAAGGATGAGAATGTAATCTTTGTTGTTCCATCTCACGCTGAAGAGCGCGTATGTCACTATCGTATCTACCACCACATTCGGGGCGATTTCAAGTAATTAGAATCATGCGGTAGAAATCGATTGAAAAATCAATTCATTAGCATAGACGTTTAAAAATTAGAAATTAACCGACACCAATAATATCAAAATGGTTATACTTACTGTGCTTTTATGTTCTTTTGTGTATTTTGTAAATCGTATAATCCTTGACGAATAAGATTAACTTCATCAGTCTGTTGTTGAACTAAAAAAACCATGAATTTTTAATTTTTGATAATATTATTAGTAGAAAAAATTTTTTTTGATTTTTTTTGATTTTTTTTTTTTTTTTTATAAATAAAGACGCGTCTTTTGAATTCCAAAAATTATACACAACACCTCTCTCAACTTATGGCACATGATATAAGCAAGCACATCCATAAAAAGGAAAAAGATGTTGATGTAATGTCTGATTAACATCTGAACTCTACCTTTATGTTCAAGGTCATCTCGCTGCATTTTATACATAGCTGCTTCTTGTTGAAGGGTGTCAAATTCTTGTTTTAGGGCTTCCAAGAGTTCATTAACTCGACTCGTTCCACCTGCACCACCGGGAACAATTTGCCTATGATTGTAAATATTCGACATGTTCTGATTCTATTTTTAATATTTTTTTTTTTTATTTATTTATTTTAATTTTGTTTTTCCTTTTTTTTTAAAAAAAAACAAATGTTTCCGAGTAAAAAAGAAATCTTGACTTTCTTTTGACTCGTTTCTTTTATGCCCAGTCGGCTGACGTAGATTAGTTACCCTGTTGTAGTGGTACAGATTAATAGAAATTAAAAAGGATAAAAATTTCAACAAGTCAATAAAACACATTCAAAACAGATACAGGGTTTATTTATTTATATATATGTATAACTCTTTTTATTTCTTTTCTTTTTTTTTTTTTTTTAATGCCAAAATAGTTTGTTTGTTCAATAAAAACGCTCGGACGTTGTTTTAATAGTTTTTGGTAATTTTTTTTTTTTTTTAAGGAAAATAACGTAAAGAGCAAAGATTGATGTTAAAACAAAAGTTTAATGCACGATAGTACTTACCCAATAGTGTTAGTTACAAAACTTCACGAACTTAAAAGACAAACGAAAAGTTTGTTAATGAAGAGAGAATAGAAATTATTAGGATCAAACATCAACGAGTAATTCGAAAAAGGTTTGTTTTTTTTTTTCAAAAAGCAAAGCGAGGGAGGGCAAAAGAAAGTTTGGGGGTGGAAAAGTAGAAATAAGCAAAGTGGTGGACTAAAAATGAAAAAAAAATTGATCAAACTAGGGAACTCAGTGAACTCTAATGGCACAAAACGAAATCTGTTTACGTCATATAAATCAACCAAACCGCAAAAGGAAAAGATTTGTAACACAATATAAAATAACGTAATAAATAAATTTTACGAGATTAGACTTTTAGTTATTTCAAAAATGAGCACAGCAGGTA